GTGCAATGGGTCTTCTCCACATCCATCAAATTGTACCCCCCTCGATGAAATCTTTCAAGCCATGTTTAGTTTTGGAAGTTTCTCACAAAATGACTTGGAAATATCCAACTTGATACCAATTACTTAACTTCTGTTGAAAGTAAAAAATCTTGAATTCGAATTACATAACATATTAGTAGAATGAGATAAGAGATGAAAAATGATTACATCCCATTGAGCAATCAAGATTAAAAAAATAAAATAAAATAACCAGCTTGATTACACTGCCAACACCATTTAGTTTATACCTCTTACAAAGGGCTAATAATTTCTGAACAAATTTTTGCATTCCACCTGGAAACAACTTCCGGCCTTAAATACAATAATTGTGAACCACACCATTCACTAGGCAAGGACAACATTTGAGGCATAAGAGAAGGATTCCATTATAACAAACTCTCATGTTGAGGGCACAAGACAATAATAATCCATTGTAAATTTGTAACAAACTTATATTAGAGACAACACAAAGACACCGTTTAGTTAAAACTATAGAGCCTTAATTCTAGGTCTCCTTTCCTTTGAGATCCAGCAAAAATCAATCGACAGTCAATCCTTACATTTGAGCAACTAGCCACTGGAACCCCTAAGCATTTGCAAATTAACCTCGCTTTACGGGCCTTTGAACGTAAGATTTGTTAGGATCCTCAGTCTTGAGTTTGGGAGGGCGTATTTCTCCTTTCTTAGCCTGCAAACAAACGTCAAAAGGATTATTCAAGGTATTTCTGAATCACTTTAAGCATGTATCAAGTTTGGCTTATTACTTGTTGCCCATGTAATAATAGAAACAACTAAATGACTATCTTTTTTACCTTTTTCCCTGACTTCATGAAGTCTCTCCAGCTTGAGACCTGATAAGGAAATGGAAAGGCCATCAATATAAGTTGCTGAGATTGCTATAATGCCACATCAAAAGAACCGACTAAAAGGTTAGGTATTGAACATAAAAGTAGACATATAACTAAGGTCCAAGAGCAAGTGGAAGTAGGAAACTTAAGTGAGGGTCTACATGAAAGGAACTCTAAGTGGCAAAAAGAAATCTGGGATAAGAAATATATATATATATGCATAAAGTAGCAGAGGGTTATAGAAAGTCATCAATATCTGAATTTTAAGGTAGACATAAATGTTGGCTGTAAAGTAATCAAACTGAGGTCCAAATGGGAGCAGGAAAACACATACAGCAGTACGGTTTATTTCTAGAGAGATTCTGGTTTGTCATGCAGGGTAAGACAGTTTAACTTTGGTACCCTAAAAATTGTGCATTGGTGGACATCTAATCCAAACACTGCTTTACTGAGTTCTGGTCATAAGAAATCAGGGGTTTGAATGGGTGAAACTCCTTTGAAATTTGGCAAGCACCAGCAAAACAATAACAAACATAGTAAGCCAGGAGTTTAAAAAGCTTCAACTTATGAACCAGACACAGTTTATTCATGTAAGGTTTTGGGGTTAAATTCTGTTGTGTAGCCTGTAATTCATATAAGGTCTATTGTTGGGGAAATATCATGAAAGTAACTCAAGAAAGGAAAGTGTAGAGAAAGACAGGAGACTGGAAACTGGGAAGCAATAAACTATGGAATAAAGCAATTCTGAAGATCCTAGATCAGAAACCTAAAGGTGAGAACCTTTGAATAAATAGATGACATGCATAGCACGTTAAATGAACTGAAGTGTCCACTAAAAAGAGGAATGAAAAAGGAGCGAAACAAACCCGTTGTTCTCTTGTTCCTTCCCACTGCTCTTCATGCTCACGCTTCTTTTTCCACATCTCCTTTTGTTCCTCTTCATCCTTTTTTAGTCTGCCCTCTTCTTCAGATATCTAGAACACATAGGAAAGTACAAGAAAAATTATAAACAAAGCCTTGAACAGAAGCAGCTATAAGAAAACAAGGAAAATCACCAAGGATCCAGCTTACCCTCATGGCCATTT